TTGCTTTGCATCTTGCACCTGCTGAAGCAATGTCTCAGGCATGCTCAAAGTTGCTGCAGATAATCTTCTTCTTCGTTTCGACTGGACCCTCGCACCGAAAGAACGGAAGCCCGCCCTTGAAGCCGCATTGCCCAACCTGCCAAGTTCTCGGAGCGCAGCAAACTCTGGTCCATCCTCCGACTTAATCCGTCGGTAGTCACGTGACATGGCTTGCTGCTTGCCAAAACCACGCTTTTCAAGGTGTTGAAAAGCCCTCCAAGCACCACCTCCACGATGCACAGTTTTCTTGTTCTCCATCTTCTTCTTGCTTGAGCATCCCTTTCTTCTCTGGGCCTTCTGCACTGATGAGAAGCCGCGGGCATGTAGCCAATCAGAACGTGCCTTCATGATGCTGCGCACCAAAATGAGGCCTGACAACGTCTCAAAGCTGGCTGTGCTTGCTTGCGTGGATCTGACAGTGTTGACCCTGCGAGCAGCTGCGTGGCGGGCTTCTATGCCGGCTATATCCAGCATTGTCATCTCTGCAAGGCCACAAACCAGAGCCTTGGCCTCAAAGGATTCCAATGCATCTGGAGAGGGATACTTTCGAACCAATTTGAAGGTAAGCTCGTCGTAAAGGCAGCTCGGGTCGTCCAAGACTTGCCGGCCATTTCCTGACAGAACAGCTGCAAACATGCGGTACGGGTAGGCGCGATCGCTGCCAAGAAGTTGTTCCAGAGCCCCGCCGCACGTGGCCAGTAGTCGGAACATGAGAGCACGTGTTTTGCGGACCATGTCTCTCTCAGAAAAGCCCTGTGGAGTCAAATGGAAGATTTTGCTGATCTGCTCTCCGGTTTTGGCTGTGAGCTCTGGAGCTTGGAGCACCCGGTATTGTCGGGGCTGACCAGTTGCCAGCAAAGCTTGCTGCCGCCGGTCGAACCGCAGACCGGCTTGTCGTAGGAGCTGGTGCATCAAACTCAAGCACGGTCTCATGCAAGCACGCATAGCAATCAATGAGGCATTGACATCTTCCCTGCTTGCCCACTTGGCAGCTTTCGCTTTCATAGAAGCATTGATTTTCTGCCAATCCACACACCCAGTGGCCTGGTCCAGCAAATGCTGATCGGCGTTGCCTGACAATACCTCGGCCATTCAAAGAATTTGGTTCTCTTAAGCTTGCACTGCTCTACCAGACTCTACCAGACTCTACCAGACTCTACCACTTGAAATGTACTCGCGGCATCTATTTTGACTGCATTGCTTCTGAGTAGGCTCGGGGCTAGCCAGGAGGGCCAGAGCCAGACACTGCACAGTGTACAGATTCACAAGCTCAGAAAACATACACGAAACAAAAACGTGTAACAGGAGGGTGCCAGGATCAGCACAACACTGTCACAACACCTAAGACCCAGGACCTAGGACCTCGGGCCGTACGACCTAGGACCTAGGACCTACCTAGGACCTAGGACCTAGGACCTTAGGCCTTAGGACCTTAGGACCTAAGTAACTGAAGTTTTCTGTGAACCCCCCGTTGGCAAGAGGCAGGGTCGTACTCCGGTTCATCTGGCCCAACACCATAATCAGGCTGTTCAGCTGGCATGTTGGGGAGCACAGGGGGTGAGGCCACAAATTCCCAGCCAGGCTGAAACATTTCCAGGGTTGCAGTAGGCGGGGCCTGAGGCTGCACAGCAGACCCCCCCCCACTTTTGTAGCATTGGCTGCAAGAGTCCGTGAATGCTGCTCAAAAGGCCTGCAAAGTCGATGCTGAGCTCGCCTCCGATCCATCGACTGCGCGCAAAGACGGGACACACAGATGGTAAAAGCATCGGGACAGCCACCCTCTCGTACATCTTGAGTATCTTCTCCTTTGGCATGGGCTCTGGTGCATAATACTCGACAATGTCCTGGTTCTGAATGTCGCCGGAGAAAAAGTGTCCCAAGATACACTTCTGAACTTCCCTCCTTTGGGTGGGCACCTTGCAATGCTCATTCATGCTTGCATCAGAGTTGAGAAACAAATCAAAGATTGCCTCCCGGTGGGATCGGTACTGCTCGGGGGGATCACCGATGTGAACGACCAGGCGGTCTGCAATGATTTGCAATAAGATCCTTCTCAAGGTCGAGCGGTTGCCACCACCACGCATTGATAATGCCGAATGCAATAAACCCGACACGTGGTGAGCAACAAGCTCAAACTGTTTGTTCTGGATCTGCGATGCTTTATGGATGCGGCACAAAAAATGTGCATTGATTGCACCGGCACCATCAGAGCTGATGTCCCGTTCTGCTTTGAGGTTCGCGGAGGCACGGTCCGTCACCGGCAAGTTGAACACATGCTTGGCCGTCCTTGAGATCTCACCCAACCCTGCCACCACGGACTCGGCATCCTGCTGCACCTGGGCTTTCGGAGGGGGGGTCCCTCTGTGTGAACCCATAAATGAGCCGCAAGGTCCGGCGGTGAAGTGTCGCCTCCTCCAATGGATTTGGGCTGTCTGTGTGCGAAGGGAGCACCAAAAGCCGGGTGCGCCCCCACTCTGCCCCCGGGCCATGGGGTTGCACTTGGACCTCCAACAACACCAAGTCACTAAGACCGAGGGCCTGAGGATTTTGGACCCTGGACTTTCTCTTGACTTCTAGACTCTAGACTCTAGACTCTAGATTAGGCTCTAGATGAAGCATACACTTTATGCCTTTATGCTGCAATGGATACAGAAATCAAAACCCGAATTGGAAAACCAGGGAGCGCTGCGCTAAGGCCACTAAGGCAGCTAAGGCAGCTAAGGCTAAGGGCCGCTATAAGGCCATGGAAAGCCTGACCTAGACCTACAGGGACATACAGACGTACAGGAAACAATAATCAGCCGAAGAGCTCGTTTGATGTTCGCGGCACTTGCAGTGTCCACACAGGACATCATTGTGGGCAGGCTTACCTTCATCAGGGAGCACCGCTGCTTTGTTGCGTGGCACATGAGCACTCCGATGCACAGTTCGGTCTGGAAAATCTTTGCCACTTCTGTCTTGGCATGCTGGTCTCCAGTCTCTGGTGTCTGAGATTCCTTGATTGCAATTTTTGTCGGCGTTTCGTCATACCTGCGCCGCTTGTAAACTGCCAGCACCTGCCATCCCTGCGCTGTGAAGTTGGCACACTGTTGTAAGAATAGCCCGGCTAGGTGTCCAGCAAAATGCAGTGAACAGCAACCGACACGTCTCTCATCACGAGACAAAGTCTGCTTTGATCCAGATATGTTTCCCGAAAAAGCATGCCCTGCAACACTGATAACCGGCATCTTTTGCAACAAAAACGTTGCCGGGTTGTCATTGGCTGGCCGCCCTTCAGCCTGGGACCCTTCCTTCAACCCAGACCATAACCGCCTCTGCAGAAAGGAGCCAATGCTAGACATAGTGGAGTGGCAATGCGTCAACAATGCCTCGGCAATGTTTGCAAGAGGTGCTCTGACTCTATCATCAGTAGGAGGGCCTACTGCGGATCCTGGTCCTGGGCCGGCAGGGCGGCGCTCCTTTGGAGGCCGACCTCGACGGGCCTTTGGCTTCGGCTCCCCCAGCAGCAGGTCGCCTGCCACTGCATCCCATCCACTCTGCCCCTCAGCAGCTGCCATGACACACACAAAGGTCACAAGGACAGCCTTGATCATGGCACAACGCGTGCCACCATTGGAACTTCTAAACCAGCTAGACTTAAAGATAAAGTAAAGGCACCATGACAGTGCTGCGGCTACTACTGGATTGCCTTTGACCTCGACTGGATTGGACTGGACTGGACTTGACTAGTAGATGATGACTACATCACTAGAATCTAGATTCTAGGTTCTAGATCACTCAATTACTAGACTCGTCACTAAAGTTCACTAAAGTCACTGGAGTCACTACACTACGTCACTACACTCACTGACTACATTGACTACAGTGACTACATTCAATAGATGATTAATTAGATGATTAGACGGACCGTCACACACTATGGCCTATGGCATTATGGCTGCAATGCGGCTGGAGTGATTGACATTTGTCATTGTACTGATTGTACTGAGCACAGTGAGTACAGAGAGAATTGAAAGAATGTGACTGTTCCGCGGTCCGCTGCTTGCCACTTCTGACATCCTCCAGAATCCACGTACCCTGTGAGCAGAGGCTACTGGGACCCTTGGACATGCAGTCAGCAAGCAATCATGGGGCATGGGGGGTTGCAGGTCGGGGTAGAGCCACAGGAGTCTCACTCTTGCAACGGCAGTTGTGTGCGCTTGGGTTTCTGGTCCGCCTGGAGAGGGGGAAGTGTGCAGCTTGGGGTGATTGTTGTTGCGCTCTGTGCAACCCTGCTGTCAACCCTATGCCCTGTACTAAGTACTATATACCCCTTACCCTGCCGGCCCTACCAAAGAATCTTCCAATTCACCAGGATCGGTCACATCACGCAAGTCGACCCAAAACCCTGCAATCTCGCAACCCTCACGTCGGTCCTTGGCCTGGCAATCATGGCAAAGCAGGACATGTCCATTTGCTGGGCCACCACCCGATAGCCGCCCCCTCGAGGGAAATCGACTTCATCGAGCAGTCGCAAATACCTGCCAGTCAAACACAAACCTTGTTTGAGGATCTTGGGGTCTTAAGGTCATTAGGGCTTAGGGCTTAGGGCCTGTAGGGACTTAACGATTTTGGGCTTCAGGCGATTTTGGGCTTCAGGAGTAGTGAGTAGGAGCATCCGAGGGCCAGTGGAATGTTAAAACTAGAAAATTAGAATCCAAATTGACGGGAGCCCTGTCACAAGCCACACGGTCTTGCTGCTTCGGCCCTCGACGTGCAACTCCACCCCAGCCCATCCTACCAGTCCTATGGCTCCACACCCTACTCTCTCCTGCTGCATGCATCATCAGCCCTCCGACCTACTCCTACCTGTCCTACCCGACCTGCCTGCTTCGTCCTGCTAACGGACCTAGGACCTAGGACCTAGGACCTAGGACCTACCAGGACCAGGACCTCGGACCTAGGACCTAGGACTCTGAACATCAGAAGCCCCACCTGTCCATGGGGCTTTCCTCCACAGATTGAGATTCCGGAGACACGAACCCCATCACCTGCTCCATGATCGCAACCAGAGGCGTGTGCTTCTGGAGCCAGTCAAAGGAATCTGAAAAAGTCACGTCGTAAGACACATGCTTCCTGCTTCCATTCACAAAGCGCTTTGCACGAAGCACACTGTAAGGCTTACACGGTGTGCCATACACCGCCAAACTTGGACTGTGGTCCACAAAGCAAGCTGAGGCTTCCGGATGCAAAGTGCAGGGGCAGTCAGTCACCTGATCCTGCATTGTCTTACGCATGTGGTGAATGGCTGGTCCATGGTTGGCTGCCTGGAAGCTGCGAAACTCAGCACAGGGCTCGCTTGTGCTCCAGCACACGAAGGGGATGCCAAGGGCCTGCCGAGATGCGCTGCACAAAGGCTTCAATCCAAGACAGGCAATCGAACCTCCTGCGAACTGCCGACACGTCTCACTGCTCCGCCTACCTGCCTACCGCCGAAAAAGTGCAAGCCTGTGCAATCAGGCCAAGACCACTGAATGAATCTAGCGCAGCTAGCAGCTAGCAGCTAGCAGCTAGCAAGTTCAAGTTTAGGTCTAGGCTAGGTGCGGCTAGGTCTAGGTTTAATCAGAATCAATGAGGTTGCTGGCGCACACGCCCACCTTGAGAACCATGAGCTCTGCAGCACTGCCAGAACAAGCCGACAGCACGGTTCTGGGAACCTTGCACGGCTGAGGTCTGCTGTGGCCGCTCGCGTGGGACTTGATCAGGTTCACCCACCAAAGGCTGTTGTCAGGCAAGCTGTCGCTGTCGTCGGTTGCAGACCGACATGCCTCGGCCATGTCTGAGAGCTCTGCCAGCGATGGATCAGACAACGATGGCTGGGACGCAGCCAGCTCTTCCTCAGCCGCTGGAGCTGGAGCCTCCTCCCCTTGCCCAGCCCCGTGCCCGGGCTGAAACCCAATCACATCTTGCAACACAGCCTCCCAGCCATCATCTGAAAGCATGTCCGCTGCAGCAGCCCAGCTCCAGGGTCGGCCCCAAGCTGGTGACTGCTCCACGGACTCCACGGGTTCGACGATATGATATGAGGCGCACAGCTACAATGCTACAGCACCACACAAAAAACAGAAGCAGCTGTATGGCAGCGACGGATCTTCTGCAGCTTCCATCCAAGGCAAACGCCGTGCAAAATTGAGCACTGAAATCGGTTTCGGTCACACGAATTGGTTGCGCATGCGGCATGGAAGCAAAAAGCTTTGGCCTGGGCTTACAAGATTGCCTTGCTTGAAAAACACCACTGCCTTGTACGGAGTCCCAGGGCCCCAGGGCCAGGGCGGCTAGGCGGCTAGGGTCTTACAGTATTACAGCGATTAGTGACATTAGTGATTACAGTGCTCGGTACAAAGCAACAGCAACGATCAAAAGCCCAACACTTCACTGCGAAGTCGGTTCAGCACAGGGAGCATGGAAATCAGAAGCGAGCAGCCCGAAGCCTTAGGAACCTGGTCTCGCCATTGGCTTCCCTTCCGGTTCAAGACGTTTAGGATCTATAGAATCTAGAAACTAGAAACTAGAATCTAGAATAGAATCCTTGTTATGTGTTCCGCCTCCATATAAGACCCAGGTTTGCCGGAAATATTCAAATTGTGAATGTACAATGTAGAATGCTGCACTGCTGCACCAACCGACCCAGCCACCCTTATTTGGGTTTGCACTGTCCAATTTCATGTCATACGTTCGGCCACATTCTGTTAATTTGCTTTACACTTTACACTCATGAATTCAGTCGTGCTTGTCTGTCACATTTTCATTCACATTTTGGTTTACATTCACACAATTCACATCTGATTTTCGCATTTTTTGTCACATTTTTATTCACATTTTTGTTTACTTTCAAATAAATTCACATTTGATTTTGCATTTTTTTCACATTTTCATTCACATTTTGATTCACATTCACATTTGATGTTGCA